ATCCTGTGATTCTCTTCAATCAAGGCCAAGCAGAGCCAAAGGCAAGGGAAGGCTAGTTAGGCCACAGGGATCCTTCTTTCCCTTTGAAGATTAAAAAAATGAAAACTGTATCTTCTCCTCCCAAAGAACAGACAGTTAGAGCAAAAGAAAGTATGAGGCCAGAAACCATCTCTACTCCTCAGCCTTAGGAGCAACCACGTGGCTAACCCTTTCTGTTCCCCTTCTCTCTGCAAAGCCTGCTCCCAGCTGGTGAGAGATCCTGATGGGTACCAGACGTTCTAACATTTCTTGTTCTGGTGGGTTCCTCCAGGCTCCCACCCTGGTCCCTGCCCTGGAAGCTGGTGGGCTGCCCCTCCTCATGCAACCTGCCCTGGGGAAATCACCAGACCCTCCCCAGATCCATGGACTAAACTGTAGGGGTGTCAGAGCACTGGTGATTCTGGTGTGCAGATAGTCTCCTAGGTTCCCTCGCTCTCTAGTTACCATCCCTTCACCCAACCCAAATGGACACTAAACATCTCCTCAGTACAAGACACCACCCGAGGGATGCGGACATGCTTATCACAGAGTGCCCCAGAAGATGCCTCACCAACACAGAAGATGAATCAACTAGCAGAGACAGAAACAACAGAGTGAGATGGGAAAGAACATCTCCAGGAAGCACAGGGCTAGCTACTGGAGAGGTCCTCATTTTAAGCCTGGGAGCTCAGGGAAGTCATGCCAAATGGTGAAACTGGGCAGAGTTTAGCCAGGGCAGAGAGGAGGTAGGGACAGCACCGCAAGGGGAAAGAATGACCAGCATAGGGAACAGTAGGCAGACAGGCTGGCTCAGAGGGGAAGAGTCAAGGCTAGTCAGCAGCTGGGAGATAAGGCTGGAAGGTAAGCCTGGAGCCAGATCCTGGGAGTCCTTGAACCCCAGGCTAAGCAGCCGGAACCTCTTCTAATCCCTAGAGGTTTTGTCAGTTTTCCTGTTCCTTCGCCGGCCAATGTTCCCCTTAGTTCTTCTCTAAGCAGTTGGGCGTACACAGCTAAGTGGGTCTTAAATCTACACGTGAAAATACTAGTAACGTAAGCACTCCTCCTCTGTCTTGGACAGCAAGAAGCGACGGGCAAGTTTACCGGGGACCCTCCTGGGCCACCCCTCGCCTAGGGCTCTGCCTTGTCCCCAAGTCTCTACCGATAGGAAATGCCTGAAGGTCCCCACCTGCCCAACTGGCAAAAAAGCTGAGCGTCCCTCTTCAGTGTGCCTGCCTGGTTACTGACCTGGCAAAAGAGGCAGAGTCCAAACAGGACTTACAAAAGTTGACCTGGGGTAAATTGACTTTGGCTAAAATTCAAGTCACAGAGATGGTTTGCTACAGTCCCAAAGGCCCTGTTTGTCTCGGCCCCGTGGCAGGTAACACCTCTCCCTTCCAAGTAGAGGAAAGGTAGGGTTCTCCCGAGCCCGGTGCCGAGGACCCTGGCTGCCTCCAGGTCTGGTGCCCAACCTGATTCCCTCCCATCCACAAGCTGAGTTCTCCGAAGCCTGAGCCCACTCGAGAGTCAACCTGGCCACCCCAGCGCTAGAAGTGGACGTTTACCTCAGAAACTGGGCGATTCGGGCCATGACTGCCCCGGCCCCCGGCTGCAGCACATTTCCTGTGGACAACAAACCTTTACTCAGTGCCCAGTGGTGTTTGGGGCACTAAGGTACATGTGTGAATACCAGAGAGGGAACATTCCAGATCTTTCTTCAGAAACACAAGCCCTGAGCAGGCTCCCTGGAGGCTCTGAAATTTCAAGGTGCGGAGCTGGGGGAGCAAGCTCTATAGCAGCTCTTCCTGGCCATACACTAGACACAGTCCCTGAGGGTCCCAAGCTCCCGCGCCCCGTGCACCCCACCTTCCCAAATCGGCACACAATGGGCAGGTGTCATGGAAAGAACGCAATGCAAAGCTTGATGTCTAACAAACTGGTTCTGTCACTTAGGGAGATGGGGTTCTGAAAACGCACACCTCCCCAGGTGTCCTCTGCCAATCCCTGCTGTCACTCCGTAGGTGGCACGGTGATTTCCGCACCCACAGTATTTAATAAGGCTCTTGCCACATGACGTTATGTTTTGAGGCTAGAAGAGAAGAGGGGGGGGGGGGGCTGACCAAAGATCAGGCAGCTCTGGATTCAGATCCCAAGCTCTGCTGCAAATTCTCCGGCCTCAGTTTCTCCATTTGTAAGCGAGGAACTGGACAAGACTGTTTGGGGCGCTCCCTCCATTCTGTTGTAGCAGAGACTGGATGTCGGGGTCAGTAAGAACCCTATAGTTTTCTGTTTCCTAGGATGTCCTCAAACCCCGGTGCCCAGTGTCTTGGCGTTGGAATGTCTGTCACTTGACAGCCCTGCTTCCTACCACTTAATGCGCAGAAATGTGCTTGGAGGGCGAAGCAAGTGCCTGTAGGCGGGGCGGAGTCCAGCCTTAAAAAGACAAACTCTCCTGGAAAACACCCGCCCGTGCCTGGGGGTGGTGAAGTGTTGGAGGACTTCCGCGGGGAGGGAGGGCGAGGAGCGCCGAGCCCAGGGCCTGGGTAGCGAGCTCACCCACGCAGATGTCTCCCAGTTGGGTCGGGCTCAGCCTGACGTCCTGGAGAACCGCGGTCAAGACGGCCGAGAGGAGCTCGTCGGGGGTGGTGTCCTGCAGCGGGAAGCGTGGCCGCGGTGACCCCGTGGCCTGCGCTACCCGCCTTTCCCACC